AGATTCGACATCCCAATTGGAGCAGGACCTGTGTTGCCACCTCCACATGCAGAAGATGATGACGAAGTCCCTCCTCCGCCTCCTCCCCGTCACCAGCTATACCCCGCCGGCGATCCAGCCACCACTGACAAAATTGAAAAGTCCAAAGGGTTTTACACCATTCGTACACCATTCGTACACCGTTCGAGGCGTCGTCTACCCCGAAGGTCCCGCGCACGAGGTACGTCGCTCATTCCATCGCTTCTGCAACGGCCGTACCATGCACGAGTTCTGACGAGATGTCGTTGGAGCGCAGGATAAGCTAAAGAAAACCAAACAGTGCGAACTGTGGCTCGACGACGAAGAGAACTGGGTGCTTGCAACAATCACGCGCATCTTCTCCACGTCTGTCCACGAGACGAACGAAATGTTCAAGCATTATCATGTCCAACGGCGGGACACCCCAACGGCGCCGCCCATCGAAGACGTGCGAAGCGCTTCGCATTCCCCTCACCATGCCTGTGGGGATGGTAGTTCCCGCCGAACGTGACCAGACCGCGGAATTCCTGCACCAGGTGCAGCAGATCGTGTCCGGGTCGAAGCCGACTGCCTTCGTAAAGCCCGCCGCGCCAGACTATGGCGGGTGGTCCACGGTCAGCGTGCGTGTTGTGGACGACGAAGCCGAGCAAGCGGCGATCCAGGCGGAAGCCGCGGCATTGAAGCCAAGAAGACGCAGATCCAAATCGAACGCGACAACGACTTTCTCATGAACGAGTCGTTACATGCCGACAATGCAATGGGCGCGTTCAATCCGTGGGGCGGGCGGTACAAGGGCATTGCGCTCGACGGCGCGGACCCGCCCCGAGAGGACTCGAAGGACGACATGGCTGTGGCCCCTGTAGCCTTTCAGATCAAGAAGGGGGGTCGGAAACACCAAGGCAAGCACGTCGATGTGTCGCTAAGCCGTGCTAAGACTTGGCAGCTCGACTCGTTCACGACGTCCAAGTGGATGCAACTGTTCAGGACTCCCTGGTTGACATGTCCTTGAGTAGGTCATCGTATCTCCTTCGATAAAAACATGTATTGACAAAGTTTATTCTCCAATTGCATATTCTCCAGGCGACTGGCTGCGTGGACAGACACAAGGCAGTGCAAAGACAACTTTGTCGTCAAGAGGGCGGTCAAGCAAGACAATGATTCAACAGCGGCACGTTCTAAGAGGTCCATTCGCGCCGTCAAGGTAGCGTGTACACCAGCGGTAAGAATTTCCGAACGTCTTGAGGGGAGAAAGTTCTTGCTCTTAGCCTTCAGCACGCTGAAGCAACCGTCAATAGGATTGCACATCGGCGAGTACGGTCCAAGGCGTAGCAAGACGCAGTCATCGTGCCCAGGCATGCGGGTCTCAGTTTGGCTGTGGGCGGGTGCGTTGTCAAGGACTACGTCCTTGCCGCGGAATTCGGCTTGGAACGATGGCAGAGACTTGACGGCAAGGTAGATGGCTTCTGCAAATTCTGCGTTCTCTTCCATCCGAATGCCT